TCAGCTACATGGTTTAGCCACAGAATTGTATGCAGTATTGTTGTTGTTTAGTTGTTAAGTCGTGTCCAACACTTCATGACCCCATGGACCAGAGGACGCCAGGCCCTCCTGTCTTCCATTTCCTCCCGGAGTTGAGTCAAATTCATATTAGTAGCTTCAAAGACACTGTCCAACCATCTTGTCCTCTCTCGTCCCTTTCTCCTCCTGCCTTCACACTTTCCCAACATCAGGGTCTTTTCCAGGGAGTCTTCTCTTCTCATAAGATGGCCAAAGTATTTCAGCCTCAACGTCAGGCAGTATAGGCCAAAACAAATAAAAGACCAATGGTTCTGTAACTGCCTGTTTTAGGTAGCAAAGTAACATTCTGACAACATACTGATTAATCATATGAAGTTTCACTATTCTCAGACATTTTCACCATTGTCTAAGTGATGACTTGTTTAAAGAAAATAAAGTCAATTGTGTGTAATAGTGGCACATCAAAGTGAAATGTCAGATCCCTTCACATTATGCTCAGAGCAAACTATGAAGCTGCATATATTACAGTAAAATGACTCTTATTTTATCATTTATTTTGTTTTGAAATGGAAATTACTTTTTTTAAAAAAAGTTCTGTTGACTACTATGTTCCGTAGTTCCCTGCAATCCCCCTGTAATGCAGACAGAAATTAAGTTGTGGACATGAAACAGCTCTGTTTCAGGAAAGGTATAAGTTGTTGCCTCCTACATTTAGAACAATCTAAACAGTAATAAGCTAGTCACGTCCTCTACATTTCATATGAACCAGATGATGCAGTGTGTTTTTTAAAGAGCTGTGGCAACTAAATCACCTTATTTCCATTGTTTCAACACTGCCAGCCAGTTTGTGGCCAGCTTGGGTTTTCTAATGTTGATTTAAAATGCCTATGGTGGGCGGTGGGCTCATGGATTTACGGTGCTCTTCTGTATGGGACTAGCAGCGCTTCACAGCAACCCTGTTGTTTTTGTGACAGGATCTGTTTGACTGGTTTTGGATTTATGAAGGAAATAATTCAGAATAGAGTAATAATTTTCCCTTGGCAATTACACTAACATTTGGTACTTTGTCCCTAAGGGGGAAATGAATGTGTTGGGTCTATCTGTGGTTTCAGTGGCTCAGTGTGAAAGAACAAACCAAGGTCAGAAAGCAGCTATGCAACACGCAAATGCGGTCTATAAAATTACTTACGTAGTTTTTAGCTAATTTTATTGAAAGCTTCTACAATTTAAAAAATGATTATTCAATAATTTAAGGTTTAACACTTGTTTCAAACAGCGTGGAATATCGCAAATCCCATGGTATTGGATCTTGAATAATTCCATTTTGGTCAGTGAATCAAAAATTGTATGTAGAAGTTTTATTTTTGTTTGTATATGTGTCTCGTATTATTTTCTGAAAGAGTGGAATACTTCTCCACTGGCTCATGGGGTGTTAAATCTTAAGATCCCTTAAATCTTCCAGTGCTTATTAGTGCCTAGCTAATAAATATGAAAATTTTGAGTTTTATTCAGTGTGTGAACTATCATTACAGCATTGCAGTGTCATATGTAAATATTTTGTAGCTAGAACATCATAGAAAGATATCAAACTGTTACTAATTTTTGAAACTCCACCCTAAACACATAGTCTGCTTGTTTCATTGTTTTGACAATGTTTCTGAAGCAAAAGAAGTATTGATAGCTGCATATAAGCAACAATTTCTCTTGACCTTCCTGTACATGGTATATTCCCAGCACTGTCAAACTGATATGCAGTGAAAATAAAGAAGCCTCTTGGTGTTGTTCTTCTCATCAGTATTGGCCAGTCACACAAGCATTGACTAGTGCTGCTGGCCCAGTTTCTTCCAGAAAATATTGGCATCACTTTCAATTGAAAACCTGGGTACACAAGATGAATTGTAACAGCTGTGATGGATGAGAACTGGATGCTGTTTCTGTATTTTTCTTGCTAATAAGTGGAAATAATGAAAAGGACAATATGACATAGCAACATATTCGTGTTTTAAGGTATTCAGTGAAAATAGTCATTACTATTTATAGGTTTATTTATTTATTTTATTTATTTCATTTATATCCCACCTATCTGGTCGGGTCAGGACCACTCTAGGCGGCTAGAGTGCTGGTACTTCGAGAAGGAAGAAATATGATAAATTAGTTCCCAAACATCACCAACCTTGAGGCTTGAAAATTCCAAACTGCAACAACCATGCTAATTTTGCCAAAATGTGGAAATTGAATATTAAGAGTTTTCTCCGAATTTTATGAAAATACTGTATCCTGTTTTCCATTGTGACCCATAGGACATTGGTTTTTGCCACTGTGGAGTAAAAGAACACCCTCCCATTTAGACTACAAGTTGCCTTCCTTAAAAAAAAAGAACCAAAAAATCAATTATGAAAATTCTGAGGAGGAACGATCATGCTGCTTCCATTGCTTCAGTTTAAACTCACCGTCCAAAAATCCTGTTGCTTGACATAGTAAATTGCACTTCAGTATGCCCACTGAATCAATTAGGTTTTGGTGAGTCTACTCCTTTGTAAGTTACATGGATTCAAACAGGCCAGCTCTTACTGGACTATGCTAAAAGTAAGTTGCAGTTACAGTAGGAGTATTTGAATCAGTGGAACGGATGGAGATGTTGGCTCATCAAATCCCTGTTGATTCAGTGGACCCACTCCAGTGGAATATAATGTATTAAGCAAGTAAGTTGCAATTAGAATAAGCTCATTTGAAGCAATTGGAACATGCATAGGAGTTGATTCAACAAACAGCATTGTTTTGTTTAGCAAAACTGTCCACTGTCCACAACACAACCAACTTTTTGTTGAAAGCAAAACTCATTGCTTCAGTAGTTCAAAGGCAAGAGCTTGACTATTGCATATTGGCCTACAACTTTTTTGCATTAAGTACAGTAATTGCTCTTCTTACTGCTAGAATGTGTAAGTGATAGGTATTCCACAGTCACTGCACACTCCCCCCTCTTCTTACTGCTAGAATGTGTAAGTGATCAACACTTTGGAAGTTCTGTATCTCAGAAGATCCATCCCTGCCTTTGCAACCATGGCCACTCAGTATAGAAACCTCTTGCATCAATATTTTACTTCATGTTTCTGAAGAAGTCAATTATAATCTATGAATGCTCACCTTGAAATAAGTCACAAGAGATAGCACAAGACTTTGTTTCTATTACAGCACGTATTGATAAAGCATGGATCTAATCCTGGCTTATTGTCCTGGCTTCTTTGTTACTCCCCAAAACGGGTCCTTTTATCCGGCGAAGAACACAGACTGAGATGCAAAGACCAGCTGTCTATTATGCCAATTTATTGAAATACACAGCTGGGGCCCATTCTCCTAAAATCAGAGATGAGCCCCGAACAACGAGAAGCATAATCATTATATAAGTTTCAATATACAGCGTTGGGGATAGGGTGTTGCAGAGGTCTTGACCTGATTGGTTCCTTAAACCCTTAACCTAAATTTCTCCTGATTATTGGCCAGAGAGGTTCCGTGGGTTTTCCTAATTGGCCGGAATACGATGCTCTAGTGTGGCTGAAAAGGCCAATTTGAGAGTGACAATCCCTCCCACACTGAAGACAAATACAGTCTGTCCCCTGTCCAGCTCCCTGATTTTGCTGGTTTCGGGATTGCCTCTTTGCCTCGGCCTGCTCTACAGTGTCTCTTCAAAATGGGAGAGGCCATGATGCACCGCCTGCCTCCAGATTGAGGTTTCCCATCTGTTAAGGTCCATTCCTAAGGCCTTCAGATCCTTGTATCACAGCTATGGTCTCCCTCTGGGGTGTTTTCCCTGCACTAATTCTCCATACAGGAGATCTTTCAGAATCCAACCATTAGCCATTCTCACGGCATGCCCGAGCCGATGTAGACGTTGCTGTTTCATTAATGTATACATGCTAAAAATTCCAACTTGTTCTAGGACTACTCTATTTGGAACTTTGTCCTGCCAGGTGATAACAAAAATGCATCAGAGAACACATATGGACCATGACTTGTGTTTTCTTCAGGCTGGTTGTTAGTATAAAGTCTTGGCAGGCCTTACTAAAATGATTCATAAGTTGGAGGTCTTCAGCAGAATGGGTGACAACAGCTGCATCATTGGTGAAGAGGAAGTCCCACATGCATTTCAGCTGGACTTTGGTCTTTGCTCTCAATTTAGAGAGATTACAGAGCTTTCCACCTGATATAGTCCAAAGATAGATACCTTCTGTTACAGTTCCAAAGGTGTGCTTCAGCATGACAACAAAAAAGAAGAAGAAAAGATCACAAACAGGGTTGGCGCAAGAACACAGCCCTGTTTCACTCCGCTTTGGATGTCAAAGGGATCTGATGTTGAAACATCAAAAACTACAGTACCCTTCATTTACTCATGAAAGGACCTGATGATGTTAAGGAGTCGATGTGGACATCCAGTCCTGGGAAGTATCTTAAAAAGGCCGTCCCTGCAAATGGCACAATAAAGATTGAGCAAAGCAGTTTGGGGCTAATGCAGAAGCAAGATGAAGCTTTAATGGAAAATATATTTTAAAAAATTATACATGCCACCCTGAATCAGTTTATCCCACTTGTCTATGTAATGATTTTCTGCAAGAAATGTTTTGGACAGATGACTTGTTCTTTTCAGGCTTTTTGAATGTTCTTACAACAAATATACCCATTTAGAACAAAGAGAAACTTGTCTGTATCTCTTTTAAAAGAATTACAAAACTTTAAAACTTACTTCAGTCTGTGGATATGGATTCATTCAAATTGCAAATATTATTATAAATTGCATTTTTTAAAAAAAAAGCACATGGCATGTATACATTTTTAAAAAGTAGTGTTGACGTTATTGTATAATGTGACAGAATGATTATACCTCCTTCCTTGTATGTTTATATAAAAGCCTGCTTTAGCTTCTGCTGTCATCAGAGAACTTTCCCCCAAGAAATAATTCGCTCTCTTTTTTTTCTTTGATCATACAGAGCTGGCTATTTGCCTCAAAATATCCCACTGGAGCTTATCAGATATCTATCTAAAGAAAAGGAATTTCTGCCTTGGCATGCTGCCAGCCGAGCTCTTTACCCTCTTGATAAGCTGCTGGACCGCACAGAAAACTACAACATCTTCAATGTAAAGATTTCCTTCCTTCCTTCCTTCCTTCCTTCCTTCCTTCCTTCCTTCCTTCCTTCCTTCCTTCCTTGTTACTACTGGCTGTACTATTGTTGTCCTTCCCCTTAAGATTCTTTAACTTGGCTAAGGCCTTCCTGTATGATCAGTCAAGGTGCTTGCATAGAAATATTTCTATACAGTACTTACTGTTGTTAGCTTTAAATACTGGCTTTTAATGATGTAAGCTGCTTTGGATCCCTTTTAAGGAGAAAGGTGAGGTAACAAATATTTTAAATAAGTGAGTAACAACACCCAAAATGTTGTACTCTTACTATTATAATTCCTAAATGAAGTTCCATGATAACTATGGACAACTTGCCTGTATATTATTTTTTTTTAAAAAAAATGGAGGGGGCAATGTGTTATAAACATGTAAAAGACATTGAAACTCTTTTTTTTTTTTTTGAAGCTTCATAATCTGTTATTGATTGTGGCCAGGATCCAGTGATGGATTCCAGTGCTTCCATGGGATCTGGCAATCTTCCCTTTCTCCTACAGGCCCTCTCCCCACTATGCCTTAAAAAACTGCTCCAGAGGAATAGAAAATTCTGCAGCAAATGTTTGGTGCTGTGAATGGCAACAGAGAGAGAGAGAGGAGAAGAAAGTCCCAGTTCCACTATGACTAGATATTGATATATACTACAGGATCTTGGCCTTTGTCACAAAACTGCCAGCTAAAAGACCAAATTGCAAAAGCAATGAATATGCAGCTTGGGATGTCAATTGCCTTTTCCTATTGCACATTGCTGCACTTTAAGGTAAAATATGCAGACAGTGCAACAAGTGAGAAATTTTAATTTAATACATGGGATTTTTAAAAGGTAGGAAGACCTTATGGAAATTTACTTCATTGGGGCAAGCCTTTTGAAGGCTCATTGATTTCCACAGGAGGGCTAGGCCTATTCTTGAATGCTACCTCCACAGATTCCCTCCACAAAAAAGTGGGATTTAAATGTGCTTAGCATTGGGGATGTCATACTCTTTGTTTCTGTCCTTACTGTATTGTAGGGAATGTATGATTCAACTGGTATTTAAATAGCAACATTAGATGAGCTGTTCAGTACATACACCAATAATGTTCTGCACATATATTGGATTCCAGACTTATCCAAGGGCAGCAGTGATGTTGTTGCTATTGCTTTTGTGAAAAAACAAAACAAAACTTTCTGAATTCATTTCACTTCTTTTCAATGCAATGGATTACTAATGCTGATCTTTCATAGTAATAACATTTTACTTTCTACAGAATCTTAATGCCATTCTTAGTTGTGGGCAGGCAGCACACAGGATCAGGAGGTTATTCAAAGCTCCACTAAAAATTGATTCCTGAAGGAAAAAAAATACCCTCCAGAGGCTCAGACAGAGCTGGAGCCAATCCTTTCTAGTAGTGCCAGGGACTGAATGAGGCATATGCTCTGTCCATGATAAATATTTTGGGTAGTGCTTAACGCTATATATTAAAATCTTCCACCTTAAGTATTATATTGCATTGATCCAGTCAGCAACAGAGGAGAATATGTACAAGTCAAATGAAAGTTTTAGTTCATTTTTGGAACCTAACTCATATGTCTTGTATTTCTACCTCACTTTGTCAAAAGCACTGTCACCCGTCTTTTACACTAGGTTCTAGCATAGGGAGCAGTGGAGTAGGAGAGGCAATGAGTTAATGCAAGTCTATGCTATACTGAATTTTTCCACTCACTCCAATCATTTCCTTTGTCCTTCTAATGGCTATCAATAGACACTTAATTCTATGCAGTGTAAGCTTTATTCCTCTCTCAGATGATGCTGAATTAAATGGAAAACTGGGTTGCCAACTTGCTTCTGCCTACATTGAAGAATTTTTATAATTCATTCATTGCTGACTTCTGTTTAGTCTTACTGTTTAAAAATCCTATTTTAATAAATAAGAATTGTAAAAATATTGCTAGATGATTCTTCTTCATAATGTAGGAACTGACAACAAAGATATAATAGTCATTTTTATCGCAAGAAAAACTTGCCTGCCATAGAAAGGTATATATGTATCTCCTTTCATCTTGTCATAACATGTAGCTGAATATGTTATCATGTAAATAAAAATCATCACTTTTATATTGTGCTAATATAATGTGAAATACATTTTAAGGCTTCATTTTTATTTCACCTAAATATAGAAATCTGGCAGTAAGAAAATTATGATGATGACAGTGGAATACTTTGTAACCCGACATAGAAAGTAAAAGGTTCCTTTTGTGTAAGGGTCAAAAGTAGAAAACATATTACCCTACCTTTGCTTTTAAAAATGCCAACAACTAAAAGGACACTGAAATACAGATCTCGTTAAATTGTCCTCTCTCGAAATGCTGCTCACATTATTCAATATTATTACATCAATTGGCTCTGCTTGTGTAATGGCCTTCCCATATCTGGGCATATAAAGACAGCCAAGCCTATCAATTTCATCTCTGTGTGTGGCCTAAATGTGTCACTTATAAATGTTTAATGATGGACATTACTCAAACATGCATTTCTAAGTCAAGAGTAGCCTGCCAAGGTAAATGCTAGGTTGTCTAAGCACAAGCAGCTTTTCATACTTGTGTCAAGTATACATTAAATTTCTAAAATGCAGGGCATGATCCAACTACTATTAAGCACTGTTCAATCTCATTATTAAAGAAGAACATTTAAGAGCTTGGTTTACTCTCTCTTGCAGAAATCAGTGGGACCTAAAAGTGTTTAACCTTGGTTGCACCTCACCTGTAACTAATGCTCTCAGCTTAGTTCTCTTCTGCTAGCAGGAACCTCTTAAGGGGACTTTGTTATTTTCTCCTTTGTAGCCCCTACTCCCAACCCTCAAAAAATCTGCTCTCGGATGTTGGAGTGCAACATGGAATTGTTGAGTTGAGATGCAAAGGGAAAATCAAAAAAATGTTGCAACTCCCTCTTCTCACAGAGGAAGTCCCAGGCCTTCCCTGATTGTCGAGGAGAATTCAGGATCTATGCTGTATACATCAACAACCACTAGTTTTCAGTATGATAATAAAGTAATCTTGCTGATTAATCTTTTATTCTTAATGTGTCACCAGTTTATGACACATACCCTGTTTCCCTGAAAATAAGACCTAACCTAGTATGATTTTTAAGGATGCTTGTAATATAAGCCCTATCCCCAAAATAAGCCCCAGTTAAGTGAAACCCCACCGTCCACCATTGTGCAGCAACCAGATGACATGACTGTATTTGTATAAATGTAGATTGTTGTGCATGAAAGAATAGAACATCCCCTGAAAATAAGCCCTAATGCATTTTTGGAGCAAAAATTAATATAAGACCCTGTCTTATTTTTGGGGGGAAACGGTATATCGCCAATGACATTAGAAACATGAAGTTGTAATGTTCCTAGACAGGAAGCCACTTAGTCTTGGTCAGTATAAAATCAGATTTTCCTGTTTTTGAATTCTGTGCACAAAACCATACCAATGAATGAAGGTTTTGGGGGTGCATGCATTGTGTTCAACCATGTAGCACCTTCCTATATGTTGGACCTAGCATCCATAGCAAGAAGGATAACATACATAAATATTCCATTTCTAAACTACTTTTAAATTATATGGTTTGTGTTAAGTTTAACTGACGTTATGCGAGGCACCACTGTATATGGTTTGTGTTAAGTTTAACTGTAAGTGTATGATACAGGCTGTCTCTCCCCTCCCCTTTTCTCTTTCAGGAATATATTTTAAGACAAGTTGCTTCAATGTATCTTAAGCTTGGATGGCCAACAAATAGTTTGGATAAATCCTTTGTTCAAGCTTCCTACCAACATGAGTACTGTTACACCTTTAATATTTTTTCTGTAGTAAAATAGTTGTAGTAGTCAAAATGTCACTTGATTTGAGCTTAAAGAGTGTGAGTTATCTTTCATCTGTGCTGGTTATTATTAAGCATGAATTAGCCATCTCCCTTTGCTTAAGTACATTTTTATTTGTCTTGTTGAAATCAATTTGATGCCTTTTGCTTACTGAATTAATGTTGGAATCTTGTTCTTATATATCATCTTAATACTTAAAAAGACTAGTTCTTTTTGTTACAACTTAGGTTCTGGGGCATTTTCAAAATGGAAATTATAAAGATTAGTAATATGCTTGCCTGTAACTGACAGGTTTTGTAGTAAACTAAATGTAATTACTTACTAGGTGATGTGTCAATTTTGTAAATGTACTGTTAAAGCACTGTTAGTATGTTTACCTTTGTTAAATATTAGTTTAGATCTTGTAAGCAATGAGGTGTTTTCATCTGAGAATTTGAACATATTTATTAACTGAGCCTAATGCTATTTTTGTTTGTGTTTTGGGATACCTAGGGAGTTACGCCGTGAAGTGATTATGCTAGCCTGCAGCTTTGGTAACAAGCACTGCCACCAGCAGGCTGCAACTCTAATCTCAGACTGGATTTCTAGCAACAGAAACAGGTAAAGAATATGGCAGTGTGCATCTCCCCTTTTTCAAAAAGCATTTATGCATTGTGATGGAAAAGAAAACATTGTTTTCTTTTTTTCAAAGGCACATAAAAACCCTAAGACTAGTATTAACAGTAGGAGGAAAAAGAGGTGGCTGTTGCATTTCATAGGCATGATTGTTTTTAAAGGAGGGGAAATGATCTGCTTGAAGTTTCTTCTTAACTGCAAAAAAGTGTGACTACACAGTGGGAAGAATGTGAATTGATTCACGGTGAAATTATACCCAGGAAGTTAGTTTTTTCCAGATGAATTCTCTTCAGCTTGACTACACAGGAGTCAACAGAGAGTGGGAGGGAATCAATCTTGTTTGCAGCTTGTTAACTGTTTGAATCTTCTCTTCCTTATACCTAGTTTCCCTCTTCCCTTCCTGTTCCATTCTCTTTCTTTCTTTCGTCTTTTAAAGGCTGGCTGTTCTAGCTCTAGGAGAGCTAGGTGACCAAAGAAAAAAGAAGAAAAAGAAGAGCAATCATCAGAGAGACACGAGGGAGTTTTCAGTTCAGCCTTATTTCTGGCTTGTTAAGATAGCTGCTTGGCTGTCTAGATTTGGTGCTGTTAGGATTGAGCTACCTTAAAATGTCCTCCCCCTCTCTCATCTGATTCCTCACTCTTTTTTCTTCTTCTTTGGTCAGCTAGCCACCCTAGTGCTATATTGACAAGAAAGAAAGATAGAAAGGAAGAGCACCGGGTGTGACGAGGTGAGGATTCATACTGTGGCTATAGTCAAGGATGATGGCAATTACTTTGTTTATATGTGAAAGCCAGCCTGTGAAGCATAACATACTACTGCAAGCATCTATCCAACCCATAGCTCAGTAAGCAATTAAAACAGTAAACATTCATTATCTGTCATTGATCCTAGCTTCACCCATCATTCCTTTACATTCCCCTGCTTTCAGCCTAAGCGATAAATATTTGCAAATATGCATCATATTAGTACTTCTTCTACCTCAGAATAGCCACTCCAGTGTTCAGATAGGCAGTCATGTTCTTAGAAAATGCTGTTGCTCTGACAGGCTTAAGGGAAAACAGAGGGAAATAAGGTTATATATCTTGTACTTCATATTTTCCTATGCATCAGTGTAGTGTTCGTAGCTGTGGAACTAGTCGAAGAGTCCAAGTCTGTCCTTTGCATTTGGTATCAATTTATTGAGATACTTTAAATCTACAGCTGTTTAAATCTGTATTGTGAGTTAAAATGTGGTTTCAGAAATTCACCTCTTGTACTATTCTGTGGGAGCTATTGCTTTCAGGAAATTAAGATGTTTGCGGCAGCCCTTTCATGCGTGAAGAAGTACATTATTCACGTCCCTTACTTAATGACAGCATAGTGGCTCAGCTGAAAAAAATAAAAGAATTACCATACTTCTGCCTGAGCTTGAGAATCAGCCTTGTTAACCTTTTTTAACCTTTACAATGCATCAATTTTGAAAGCAAAATGTGCTTTATAATACATTACACCTTGCAGAATTCACTCAATGTATCATTGACTTTAAAAGCTCAAGAAAGAACTTTCCAAAAAGAAAACCAAGAACATGTTGTCTGCACTCCAAATACTTGCTGTACTGCTCCATGTATTTAAATGTAATTGTAGCGCCAGAGCTACCATGGCAAATCATTTATAGTCCATGCTTCAAAATTTGGAGCATCTTTCAAATTTGCAGAAGAGTCTATCCAGAATCACAGTTTGGATTTTGAGCTAATAGATCCACCATTGATATGGTATTTTCTCTCAGACAGTTGCAGGAGAAATGGAGGGAACACCGACAGCCACTCTGTGTGGCCTTCATAGATCTCACAAAGGCCTTTGATTCGGTTAGCAGGGATGGCCTTTTTAAAATACTTCACAAGATTGGATGTCCACCTTGACTCCTTAACATCATCAGGTCCTTTCATGAGGAAATGAAGGGTACTGTAGTTTTTGATGGCTCAACATCATATCCCTTTGACATACGAAGTGGAGTGAAACAGGGCTGTGTCCTCAGGGCGACCCTGTTTGGGTGTTTTTTTTTTTTTTTCTGTCATGCTGAAACACACCTTTGGAACTACAACAGAAAGTGTCTATTCCCAGACTAGATCAGATGGAGAGTGAAGACCAAAGTCCAGGTGAAATGCATCTAGGACTTTCTCTTTGCCGATGATGCAGCTTTTGTTGTCTATTCTGCTGAAGACCACCAACAACTTATGAATCATTTTAGTAAGGTCCGCCAAGACTTTGGATTAACAATCAGCCTGAAGAAAACACAAGTCATTGGCCAGGGCATGGACTCACCTCCCTCTATTACCACCTCTGTACAAGAATTTGAAGCTGTTCATGACTTCGTGTATCTTGGCTAAACGATCTCGGACATTCTTTCAAGACTGAAAGAATTAGCCATGTTTAGCCTTGAGAAAAGAAGATAGAGGGGTGATATGATAACACTTTTCAAATACTTGAAAGTCTGTCACACAGAGCAGGGGCAAGATCTGTTCTTGATCATCCCAGAATGCAGGACACATAACAATGGGCTCATGTTACAGGAAGCTGGATTTCAATTGAATATCAGGAAAAACTTCCTAACTGTTAGAGCAGTAAGACAGTGGAACCAATTACCTTGAAGGTGTTGAGTGCTCCAACACTGGAGGCATTCAAGAGAAACTTTGACAACCACCTAGCAGATGCCCTTTGACTTGTATTCCTGCATCGAGCAGGGGGCTGGACTTGATGGCCTTATAGGCCCTTTCCAACTTCACTATTCTGTGATTCTATATTTTCTGTATGTTTTTTGAGAATAAGGAGAAGTAATGTCTCCTCACATCGCCTTAACAACAACAAAAATCAACTAATTTAAAATTAAAAGTAAACACAAGGCTTAATAAAAATATTTTAGATTGAAAATAAGAATGAACTTTTTTTCTGGAATAATCCAGAAAATCTGGAATAATCTAGTAAAGTATCTAATTATAGAAATTTATTAAAGATGATGAAAACAATCTTAAAATCTCACATTTTCATGCCTCCGTTTGAATTCTTAATAAGCCCCATTTTGACCATTGTACTAAGTGGAGCCAAACTGTTTAAAGCCCCTTTACCTCTAAGCAGAGAAACTATAGGATAATGTTGCCATCTTGTTTTGCTTGTAAATTCACTAAAGGTAGCTAACTGATCTTCTGGAGAACAGGTATAGGAAAGTGCTGTTGTGTTCCCTTGCTTATTAGCTTCCCACAGGCATCGTAGAAAAGAAACAAAACAAAAGAGAACAAAATCCTTAAAGATTAACTGCTATATTTCCATGTGAGTTTCATGAATCAAAACCTCTTCCTCAGACATAAGAGTGAAGCTACAGAGCAACTATAAAAAATATGTATAAGATGTTTTATAAATGAAATATGATGCCTAAAAATTATAAAAAATATATGGAAGTACTTCTAACAAATGTTGGAAATGCAAATTAAAAGAAGGTAGTTTTTATCATATGTGGTGGACTGGTAGGGAAGTTAAGAACTTTTGGAAGTTAGTCCATGAGTTTTTATAAAAAATGTTATCCTCTATAATTCCATATGAACCTTAACTGTTTTTGTTGAATATAATACCGGATTTGATAGAAAAAGAAAAAAGGTACTTGATCATACATGTAATTACATCAGCAAGAATTTTATATGCCAAATACTGGAAAAAAAGAGGAAACTCCAACAATCTAGGAGTTAATAGAAAAGTTTTTCAAAGCCGCAGATATGAATATTTTAACTGAAATATTAAAAGGCAAATAAATTGTTGAGGCTAGAAAAAAGCGGGGATCTTTATATAATTTAATGACAGACGAGAACATGAATGAATTAAAGTTATGAGAAAGAAGATAAAAGATATAATTGTAGATTTTAAAGGCTTAGAAAAAATGGCAAGATAAGTGTGAAGTAAGCTTATTAACAGGGCTTGAAAAATGCACCCGTTCACTCATCTGTGACGAGTGAAAAATGCTGCTGGACAAGTCACAGCTCCCTCCCTGCCTGCCTCCTTCCCCACCACCTCTCTCTCTCTCTCTCTCTCTCTCTCTCTCTTTGTAATCCCGCAGTCCACCCCTCCCCCTCCGATTGCAAAAGGAAAACTGCCCTCTTCTCATGAGAAAAGAGTTCGAGCGGTACATAGAGATATAGCTCTGCAGGAGGATGTAGAGTAGTCCCATGCTGGAGAATATGGAGATTCCCTGCTCCCAGTTTCAACTGAATGAAGACACATCCTGGGGTGGGAGGGAACCATGGCTTCTTTAAGAGGCTTTTGCTTTCAGTTTTATTTTTGCAGGAGATATTCAAAAGAAAGGCATTGAAAATACAAGCTTCATGACCTCACGTCATGGCATGCACGTAATAATGCAACCCAAGTCTGAGGGTATAAATCAGTGATTCCCAGTCCCAATAAATTGCAAGGCTGTAGTCCTGTCATGCTGACTGGTGAAATTTTTGACTGACTGGTGAGACATTCTAAAAAATTTTAAGCCTGCTTTAAGAAAAGTTTTAAGAAAACATATTGGCAATAGTAATGATATATATTGTTCCCTATCACATTCTGTATTTTTTATTTACCCCAGTTTACCCTGTTCTGAATCCCCTTTCCCATGATTTTCCCCTATGCAATGGAAAATGATTTTTAAAAAAAGAGTGAAGCTACAGGGCAATCATTTATACATTGCCCCAGGGTAAAGTGACAATGGTTGGTTAATAGGCACAAATTGCACTTTGTGTGAGTCAGTGTAGCATTTCGCACCCAGTAATGACTTAAGTCCCCTGTTTGATATTCAGTTCTTTTCCTTTGAAGCTTTGTTCTGTAAAAATTCACAATATTTAGGAAGTAAAGGAACCTCAGGCTATAGATAACAGCAGCAAATACAACATAATTGTTGTGGCATTACATATTTGTTAAGAATCTTTGACTTTACCTTTGAATTTTTGTTCTGTAAAAAGTGACAATGATGAGTTAA